GTATTTCCATTATCTCAAATGTTTAAAATATTATACATGAACAAGAAAGCTACAAAAAAATCCCCTAAAAAACAACCAAACCAGTTGTTAAAGGAGAAAGAATCCTACTCAGAGACATGTCAATGCAAAGCAATAATTACACATGGCCATTTTTCAGCTTAACCAGTGAAATTCAACTGAGGGAACTGTTAAAATAATTTCATTAAAAAAATAACCACAAAATATGCAACAGCAAAACCCCCCCAAAAATGAAAAAGCCCCTCCAGACCCCTTCCCCCAAAAGCAAATGGTTTGAGAGTGGGCAGTGATTGGCAACATGACTGAAGTCAAGAAGAAGTTCGTCACCACCATCTGTTTAATTGTTCTTGGAACTATGCCTTAAAAATCAAGACAAATTTTTTGTTAATAAAATGGACCCTGAAATATTCCTACCATCATCTATCAGTTGTGAAAGTTGGGGGACCAATTTGCAGACTTCCAGACAGAGCCAGTAAATATTTCTGGTTTCATGAGGCAAAAAAAGGACAGCACAGACATGGTGGATGGTTTAATAAATCATGTCTGTGACTCTGCTGTGAGACACTGACTTCAGGCAGATTTTTCATCCAAATTTATCAGAAATTTTTATGAAGAAAAATCAACTGTGTAGCTGTCAAACAAAATAGGGTCACTGGAAAGCCCCCTAAATGGCCTCAAAGCTGAAGTTCTGTTAGTACTGCAGGAAAATTTAAAGCTCATTGATGCACTTATTTCCATAAAGCTCAGCAGATGTAAGAGTCCATCAGCAGGTTCTTTACTTTTTTTGGAAAAGAGCCCAAATGCAAACTATATTTGCAAGATTTCCCTTAAACATGCCTTCTGTTGATGCTACAAGAAATTTTTAGTCCTGCCACAGGAATAGCATCTATGTTATGATCCATCTGGCTTAGATAATATATTTTTTTCCCCCCACACCACTGGTTTTCCAGTCACACCTCTTGCCATTGCCTCATCCATCAGTTCCAATTAATTTTTAAATCATGATGGTATGTGACACTGAAATTAAGGCAGGAAGGCTGTAGACGCCAGGCTATCAATTTCTTAAATAACAAGTTGTTCTTAAATATTTTTTCTTATAAATAGGCTCTCTTAAATAACAAATGGTTCCCGTTACTATTTCACAATAGACTTCCAAAATGTCCCCGTCAGACGAGAGTTCCATAAGCTTTTTAGCTACATCCAAATATCCTCATTCAGCACAAGCAGGGTTCCTGTGAAATAAAAATCCATCAGAGAAAGGCTTACTGGAAAAAAACTGCAACTCCTCAACACCTGGAAGGATTATTTTTTAGCTTACCTGTGCTCTATATTCTCTGCTCACTTTCTAAAGCAAACAATAAAACATGTCTTCAACACACCAAAATGAAGGCAGGCCCTGATCTACACCTGAGCAGAACACAACAATGCCTCACACAAATCTAAGTTAAATATAAATCCATACCTTCCATCAGCAGAAAGGTTTATATTAAAAGGAGACTGTCAAAAGTGGAAGAGGTTAAACTAGAAACCTTTTCTTGATTCTGTGCACTTCACTCCTACCTAGTAACAAAAAGCAGAGAGAACACTGCTCAATCAAGAAGGGGACAACACATCTCTTCCAACCTGGAGATAACAAAAAAATTGCTTTTATTGGAAAGAACAGAAAGGAGAGCTGCCTTCAGTGTCTCAATTTCTAGCCTTTTTCTTTCCACTATGTTAAGAAAAACAGCAGCTTCCGTGTGTTCCTTGTGGAGTATCTGGGCTTCCAGTCCCACGGGGAAGAGCTGCTCTGCTGCCTGTGACACACACAGCTGCTAGAGGACTCACCAGGATCCTCACAGCAAGGTTTTCATTTATAATTTAGTCCAATCTAAGAATATGCTCCCAATTATTTTTAAAGTGCATCTCTGAGGCACCTGCCAAAGGTACTCCTCTAATTCCAAAGTTATAGTTAAGTTCAAGGTCAAATTTGCTTTCCAAACTCTGACAATGCCATTTTCCAGTATATTGCAAGAGAAGACAAAAAAGAGGAGACTATTTTAACCTCAAATAGGTGTTCAATAGATGTCATTTTTTCCTGAAACCTGAATTTTTACTATAATCAGTATGATGAGCTGTCACTCCAAATGGATTAACTCCCACAAAATAATGAACAACTTCAGAAAGGGCTTCATGAAGAAAATAAGCAACCTTAACTATACATGATGTTTCTAATTCTGACTGTTGTGATCTCATCTCTTATTTCTCCACTGCATACCTTCAGATCCTAAGTAATGGAAATACATTTGCAGATCTGGACTGAGTTCTTAGCCTGCAACAATAAAAGGCTGAGTTACTTGTATATCTCCTTGTTCTTGTAACAAGAAACACATAAGACATACCCTAAAATCAACACATAAGAAATACCCTAAAATCAAGAGAATTTAAACCCCCCATTTTTGTATTTTTCCATTTGTATACTCCCTACACAACATCATTTTGGATAGGCAATTGTTTCATTTTTCCTACACGATCTCTAGTTCTAAAATGGTCAGAAAAATAATTTTAAAAAATCCACATAGAAATAGGCAAAAGTCAACTACTCCTGCTAAGATCTCAAACACTTAGTTGATATTTACAGTGTACCTTATGCACTCCCTTTTATTGCTTTGCCACAGCCTAACAGGTTACAGCCCACTCATTAAAGAGTTCTCTACTCTTCTGTAGCCATTCCTTCTCTTGCAGTCAGTGTTACACTGCCTTCAGTAACATCTGCTTGTCTGGGGAGCCTCAGACAGAAACTTTGCAGTACAATTTTTAGCAATATAATACAATTTCACAGGCACAGAAAGGATGTTCACTGTTCTCACAGAATGACAGGGTAGGTTCACACTGTGTTCACAAGCTAAATTTCACCCTGAACCCTTTAGCATTCACATATGGTCACTGCATTTCTACCTGCTTGAATGCTGAAGGATCATTAAAGTATTAATATTACTGTTTCACCTGCATTTTTCTTGTGAAATTGCAATTTAGTAATTTCTTTCATGAAGATACAAATACACCCCTTTCAAGTACCTTGTGGCTTTTTTCCTTTCATTACTATATTAACATATTTTTATCTAATTTAAAATTTTCTTTGAACAATTGAAGTTAGTGGTCAGAAGTTTACTGACTTTCCTATAATCTTGCACACAAGACTTTCTGTGTGCAAGAATACAGAATGTTCTGTGTATATGAACAAAGAGAGAAACAATGCACCCCTGAGATTAAGTTTGTCACCAAGAAAATGTAATTTAAGTAGCAAACAGTTTCTTATTTAACCTGTAATTAAACTGGGAAAAAACCCCAAAACCTCACATTTATCAAATTCATTTTATATTAGCAGCTAGATATTTCACAATAGCAGCACTGGGAGGTACCCTGCAACTCTGTATCCCTGATTATAGACTAGAGATACAGTCATATTTAAATAAAAATTTGGGATTTTTGCATGGGACTATTTTCATGGCAGCAACTGTATTGTTTCCACACAAAGTAAAAATGTGTATTTCATTTTGCTTCAGAAGTCAGCAGGGTTTTACTAGCTTATGCATAATCCCTTAGGAATAAAACTTAACAGTAATCATCAGCTGCTTCCTCAGTCTCTCCCCTCCTTCAGTTTTTAACTCTCAGTGCAAATTTGAACATCTACTTTCTTTTCTGTTGAAGAATGTTAGAAATACAAATTCACAGGAGAGAAACCAGAATAAAACCAACAGGTAACAATAAACAGAAGGCAGCAAAGTCGTGCAGGAAGACATAGCATACTCACAAAAAAAAATCTAATGTTATTTCACTCCTTTTTCTAATTATTATGAAATTTCATGAACTTGTTAATTGAGAGATGCTACACATGCCTGTATAGAGGATTTGTTGTTTAGGAAAGGATATTGAAATTTTACAGAAAAGCAGTTTGTTTGACAGAGCCAAAAGAATTGGTAAATCTCAAACAGAAAGTCCATATCCTGTCTAAGACAATGGGCAGCAGCAGATGATCCACAGGAAGAATCTTCTTAGTCCCTTTATTGCTGACATCCGACCTGAACCTACATTACTTTTTTTTTTTTTTTCCCTGGCTACAGAATCTCTCTGGTTGGTTAAATGCATGTAAATAATACCTCTGTTATGCAAAGGGATTATTAGAACAGGCTCTAAAAGTCCTGGGCATATGTATATCCAAAATAACAATGCCAACAGGAAAAACCCACCAGGGTATTTTCTGAGATTGATTTTGAGCAATGCACGATGAAGATTTTATACTGCATGAAAGGAGGCCCTGATGCAAACCCCACAACTGGGCTGCAGCCCCAGCCACTGAAGCAGAGCAGGCAGCAGGCATTAAGCCCAGTGCTGTTACTGGTTTGGAAAGCAGTGAAGACAAAAAAGCAACACTGCCTTTGCAGCCTGAGTGAAATTCCACCGGAGCACTTGCACCATGTTTCTGTATATAACACATTCCTTGTCCTTTAAAGGGTATGCTATCTTACACTTGGGAAGGGTTTCTTTCCTCTTCCCTCCTGTAATTGAAAAGTATTCTTTAGTGCCGATTTAAGGTTTGTTTTGACAAAGAGAGCACTGATGAGGCACTCAAGAGCTTGTATTAAATCAAAGTTAGACAGAAGTGAGCAGCTTGTATATGTGCTGTGGGATACACTTGCTCACATATTTATCTTCCATGTTTTGAGAGAAGGTTACAAATATTTTTATATATATACACACACATATAAAAGAGTGTGAGTAAGCAAGCTCACATTCCAAGAGAAGTTTTCTGGCTATGTCAGGAGTGTAGTCCACCCTCTGCTAAGCAAACCTATTTTTTTCAAGCACAAGAGGACATTATCAGAGGAGCCCGTGTGGATATACAGAAACCAGAGATCGTCATGGCTCGCTGAGGTGATGAGCTGATGGGTGGATGGCGCCCATTATCTTCACTCCTCAATCCAAGTTTTCCTGAAAAACGGACAGGGGGAGGAGGAGGCTCCAACTGAGCATAAGGCACAGAGGACAAGCAAAGGATTAGGAGTGAACAGCAAGAAAAGGAAGGAGAATTCAAGATATTGAAAGCGTTTCAAAGAGCTAGAAAATAGTTCCTAGATTAGAAGATACAACTGTCAGCAACTTAAAACAATATTCAGGTTTTAACTTCTGTACAAGGCTATTACATAACCCTGAAGCAAGGAAATTAACCAAAAGGAATGTGCCTTCACTATCTATAGAGAATACACTTAGCTTCAGCTGCTTCAACGCTCCTTGGAATTTTAAAATGTTTCAAGCCTTGGTTCGGCAAGCGTATCACCCCCTGCCCAGCCACCAGCCCGGGGAACCTGACGCCAAGTACAAGGGGAAGCTGGTGCATGAAACTCAGCTGAACTGCTTCTACATCAAACCTGGAGGTAAGACAGCATCACCCACTCGTGTGCACAGAAACTGTACTCAGAGCTGCTGTAAGTGCTGCCTTCCTGTTTAACTAGAGCAATCTGTGTAAGGCAGGAGACTACCCTAATACCTCACAGCAGTATTTGGTGATCATGGACTGGGAAGCCCTGGATGTGTGATCACAGCACCAGAGGATTTAGATAATTCTAGTAATTCTCAAATCTGGGGAGTTAAGTACATGGACGGCTTCTCTTGGTTATATATTGTATTTTGAGCATCTTATGAACATTGCTTTCCTGCTTCCACTGTGACATGATTAAAAAAAAGGAATGAAAGTATAAGGATAATGAAAGAAATTTATTTTTTTTATTGTAGACAAAGAGGCCAAGAAGGTTAAAACATAGGAAAGCTGAAAATACTAAATACATGTGTGCGTATGTGAAGGGATTAAGCCGCAAAGGCGGTTACACAAGGGATTTGTGAAAAGCAACCAGCTCTGGAATATCCTCGTTTGCAGGAGAAATACGTAGGCACTCATATACATATTTCCCCTGCTCCTGAAACACCTACCATTTTATTCTGTGTGAAGCAGAGGGTATGCAGGTAGTCACATGAAAATAACCCCTGCGAAAAAAATCATTATCTGCTGCAAGCCCAACTCTTGAGCATTACTGCATCATATGCCTATCTTATCTTTGCAAAGACGTCAGGAATGCCCAGCACTGGCACTGCACTCCCCACAGTAAACCTCCAGACAAGCTAATTTGTTGCTTATATGCTGACATCCATAAATGGGAAACAAAGACTGTGTCTAGCAGATATATGCAGCATTACTCTCCTGGCATCCCATGCAGAAACTCATCCCTAAGGTGGGATGTTTGATACGTGGCTGTAACTCTATTCCATACCCTTTTCCTACTGATTTGTTTGCCCAAGCTGAGATACAGCTGCAGCACACACAAAATAATTAGCAGCCATCTAAAAACTACACAGCTTTTTTGTCTTAGCTCCTTAGCCTGCTTCTTCTCACATGGCATACTCTGACTTCCAGATAGGGCTGAAACTGAAAACCTACATTAGCATTGCTGCACTTTTTCCCTTACTTTTTTTAAGCACCTTCAACACACAACAGAAAAACAACATTAGAGCAAAAACAGGGCTGCAGTCATCATGGTTATAGCTGCAAAAAGCCACTTGACAAACAAAAACCTGTTTGCTTTGCTCAGCCAGAGGCTTCTACAATTGGCCCAAAATCCTCAGGGTAGGAAGGGTGAGGAAGAAACAGCTAAAACATCCTGTTTAGAAAGTCTGAGTAGAAAAGATCTGTGCTGAGTTGAGCTCCGTGACGGGGACGTGGTGTTACACATCAGAAATTAAAACTTAGGGCCTTCAGAAGTGGTGTCTACAAATTCCACTGAAAAACATAAATTGTATTTCATTTAAAGGAAAATATGAATATTAAGGCAGCACTGGAAAAAACTAAATTTAGAAATACTTATTAGTACAAACAATTTTGCTTTAAAAACAACAAACAAAAATGAATTTTGTAGTTCCTCCTCATTTTTTTTTTTAATATGAATATAAAAACCTAAATTATAGATTTACTCTCCACAATACACAGAAAAAAACCCCCATACACCCTAAAGCTGAATTAATTAATAGCTGCTACTCCCAGAGTCACAATAATACTTTAGTATGGCTCTGCAGTTCACTTAGTCCAGTGTTCTGCTCAGGACAGTGGCAGCTTCAGCATGAGAGACACTTGGGGAAAGAAGAAATCATGATCATCTACAAGTTTCCATAAAAAACTATATTCTATGGCACTTTTTCAGTTGATTTATTTTTAATTGATTTTCATGTTCCCTTCCCTAGGTTAAAAATGCACTCCTCCTTCCATGGATTTAAGCAGAGTTTAGCCACAGGTTTCAAACCCTGTAGTTTGTGCACTCTGGAACAGGCAAGCCAAATAACCTGATTGCTAAACCATAATTACTGATGCTAAAATCCACTTTCCTTGAGACAGCACTGCTGCATGTCCATCTACCCCTGACAGCACTATTAATTTATGCCATCAAGTTATAATAATATTTTTATATCTCAGCAGGCAGGCATTAAAGATTTTCATGTAGCCTTGAAAATTAAAATGAGACAGAAAGCATGAAAACCTAACATATAAATGCACATATTTTATGGTTTTAGTGATAAAAATGTAAATTTGTATCTATAATAAACTGCCCCTTGGATATAGTATTTTCCTTGACATTCTGATGTAATTTTTACCATTTTCTAAGCACATTAAAATCATTGGTTAGTTGAAGTATAGACCACAAAGGCAGGAGATATATGGGAAATGTAGTAGAAAATTAGTAATGCCTTTATCTATATTTTTATTAACTGGTTTATGAACAGGTAATTTGAGTGTAGGTACAAGAAAATCAATAAACTGAGTGCCAGAGGCAAACTTGAATGGGAAAAAAAAATCATCACTATGAATCCAGTAAATAGAGGCAGTAAGAAGCTTCCTTGATTCTCTCAAGAAAATTTGCAGATTACAAACCATGAAACAATTGAGTTGGACAGAAACTTAAACAGGCTTCCAAAAAAAGTGCATGCAACATGACAAAGTTCATGCTGCATCCTTCATTTTCTGGGTTTAGAATTAATTCTTACAAAAACATTAATTATTTTCAGTGTGTGTGTTTCCTTTGGAAATTTAAAAAAGGAAAATAATGCCTATGCTCAAGAGTGTTAGTATTCCAACACTCTCAGCAAAACTGAGGTTTCACTTTAAGGCCAGGAACATCCAGGGAAGATAATCATGACCTCTGCTGTTGTTCTGTCTTGCTGGATACACAATGAATTTTTAAAATGCTGATCAAAGGAGAGAAACTGGAATGGAAAAGAGGAGAGATTTGTTTGTATCTCTGAGACAAAAGTGTCTCCAAGGACAGAATTTCAGGTAAACAACAAACATTTGTATTCTGAAAAATGGCACCAGTCAGTCCAGGCAGACTTTTCAAAAACAGCTTTACCCAGAACTGTTTAGCAAAAAACCAGGCTGAGAAGAATACATCCCTAAGAAGGGCAAGGCCCTTCTGCCAAAATTATTTAGCAGTTCTACAGCTTGAGTTTGCACTTTTGTTTCAAAATGGCAAACACTTTTCAAAGGGTTTTAAACTACAGAAATATTTTCTTAAACAAAACATGCAGGCTGTAGTAGGCCAGGGTCACTGCAGAGGTGGGACACTTGTAATCCATTTGTATTTTTATCAGGATGTATTTCCTTAGAAGGGTGAACTAAAGTGAGCCACAGTCAGTCTCTAAAGAAGATGAGTTGCTCTATTTGAGAGCACTCATGGATGCTGTAGCAATCTAAGAATGAAAAACAGTAGTTTGAGGAAAATATACACTGTTACCTTTTCCTAAACATTTTACAAGCACTAGCCCTCAAGCATATATTTGGTAACATTTTCATAAATAATTATGAACTATGGGGGAAGAAAAAAAAAAACCCCAACCCACAAACCACAGATAAACCCCACAAAATTCCTTTAGACAGCTGGCAAACTTCCCTCTCCCTCCCATCCCATTTACCAGATGTCTCTGCAGTGTAGAAATCTGGGAAAATAATACAAAATGTTCAGGGTTCTGACAGACATGGCAGCAGGTTAAAGTGAAAAGCTGAAACAAGCGTAAGGTTATGTACAGACCACGTGTGTCAGGACAGCTTTGCCAAAACCAGGCATGTCTGCTCTGCTTTGGTACCACCTGCTGAACCTCTAAAGAAGCCCAAATTCAGCAGACACCTTTCACCAGGAAGGCTGTACTCCATTTCAGGCTGAGAGGGTGACAGGAGCAAAGCCCTTGCTACAGTGTGGCACAAAGTGAAAAGTAACTCTTGTGTCCAAATAGGTGCAGAAACTGTCAGAGAGAAATACTGGTTGACGTGTCACACAATTTCTTTTTCCACTCAATATAGCAGAAAAGCACCCAATTAACCTGTATCAGATCACTGTCACAATTAGCATACTATTTTAAGGTAGGATCTTGTGTTCTTGGCAGCTAAAATGCTCAAGGTGAAGCCAGCTCTGAGATAAGCAACTTAATATTCCCCAAACTCCCTGTTGCCTATAAGCATCAAAAGCAGAATTCAGTGATGAAAAGGTAAATGAGTGAAATCAAGAAACAATTCCCTGACCCAGCACACAGACAAAAACACCTGGTACAGCAGAGAGTGGGGAATAGCTGTAATTATTATACAGCTGCTAAAGGGAGAAAATTAAGGTAATTTAATCAATAATTTACTGCTATGTATTTCTTCTGAACGATTTCGTACCAAGCAGCATCAAGGCTTAAGCAGCAAGCTCTGAATATTGGTTTTCCTAATAACTATCTCCAAAAACTAATGAATAAAGTAATCATTATGTAGTTAAGATTAATCAAATACATAACTCATGAAATTTTTAGATTTGTTAGACCACCTAAACAAAAGCAGAACTACTGTCTTGCTCTCAGAAAGCAAGCATTTAAAATTGCAGTTAACTACAGAAGTTTAAAGGTCACATTGAAAATTGCCTGTTTGAGCCATAAACCTTCTGTTCCTTGGTGGACAAGATTTCTGCTGGCATTAAAAACTGTAATTCGAGCTTCCCTCCTGGCTTTGAAATGAATAACCCCAGCTCTACCCTAACAGATTTCCCAAAAGAAAGTTTGCTGTGAAATAGTGGATCAGGGCAAACATTAACTGGCATGGATCCCAAATCTAGCCTGAAAAGTCCTGGAATGAGACTGTGCCTCCAACATGGTGTTCAGACAATAATTCAACTTAAGATGACCAGGATCATATAAAACAATAAAATAAATATGAAAAAAAGAAAGTAAAAATATTAATTATACCTTTTATATTTTAAGAATTTCTAAAATCTACATTTATTGTGTACAGTTTTGGAAATTTTTTTTCCTATTGTGATCATATATTGGATACAAATCAAGCTTTACAAAAGGATAGCTGTTATAT